ATATCTTAAATAAATAATATACATAATAAATATAAATATATTTTTAAAAATATATAAATATGTATATGCAAGGTGTATCTGAATAAGTGCGAAACATTTTTGGCCGAAAATTAAGGGGGGTTTCTTATATAAACACGCACTCTTATATCCCTCCCGCAAATTTCAGACAAATTAAAAAAACTTGGTGGATATTTTCTGTTTTATTTTTTTAATTTGTTTGAAATTTGAGGAAAAAATTAAAATTAATTTTTACCTGCCTCTTTAGAAAAATGTAACTCCTCAAGGAGGGATATAAGAGTATATAAAAAAACCTCTCATTTTCGACAAAAAAATTTTTTGCACTTGTTTAGATACATCTTGTATTCATACTATCAGAATGTCTATTGAAATTTTGTAAAAAATTCCCTGAGAATTCCCTAATAAAAATAATAATATATAAAATAAAATAATTTATTATAAACGTCTCAAGGAATATTAATTTATTAAATTATTATCTATTAAAAATTAAACAACTTTCTATGAAATTTATAATTTATAAAGCCAATATTAGACATATGTTTCTTAAGTGCTAAATAAGAATAAAATTAACAAAAGGACAATTTTTTAGAAAATTTCAATCAAATTTCATAATTCCCTGATGTTTCAAGGTTGAACAAAATTCCCCAAATTTTCAAGGTTTTCAAGGGATTTTCCCGGGAATATACAGGCTGGCTGTATTAAATTCCACATTACTCAATATTTAAATTAATTAATAAATGTCGTCATAATTTTCTATCGAGAGAGAAAGAGATGGAGCTGAAATATGTGCTTGTTTCGTAATTTACATAGAGTGTAATACGTAACAGAGTGTTGACACTTTCTACTTAGAGACAGGATCGTAAAATAACTGTTCTAACAAGTCATCAAGGTGGAACAAAGTTATGATTGCGTCGCAGTACTTACGCCATTTCACGATCGCGAAGTTAGTATCCCTCGTACTAAGACCATAATCGAAAGTCGCCACTTTTATGAAGCACCGCGGAAATCTCTTTCGTCTCTCTCGCAGAGAAAGATATTCCCGATACCAACCAAGTGTCACCCGCCTACGTTGAAAACCAGAAGTTCGCGCTTCGGCGCCTCTATCCTCATCTTTTTTCATGCCATCTTTTTATTGCTAATTTCTATTCATGAAATATGCGTTCCTGCCGCAGGTAGGTACGATCAGCGAGAAAAGTCTCTCTTTTTCTCTCTTTCTCTCTCTCTCGTCTCGTTACGTCCTTGTTACGACGCTTTTTCCTTCAGCGAGATGTTTACGAAAGGGCAATAATGCCTTTATTTTCATCGCGCCATTATAACGCGGACTTATAAATCACGTCCCCGCTCGAGACTCCCGTTTCCATCTCTCTGACGACCCTTCGGGACGAGCGTTTTATTAACTTCTGGTAAAGCTGCGAGTATGCCGCGCCGTCTCAGGGAATGCGCCGGAAAAACGACGTAATTCACCAAATTAAACGCTCAGGACTCCTCTTCTCTCTCTGTTTCTCTCGCCGGATAATGGATATTATACACCGGTGAGCACCGTATTCTGCGCTTCTTTCCTCGTCCTTCTCTCGCTCTTTGTCGGCCGGAAACCTCCAGCCACCTACACTTCCATCCGCTTGTTGGACCAAGTTAATTAACGAGCGACAAGCGACTTCGACCAGAAATATCCCGAATTCGGTGACACTATTTCGACCGAGACAATCCGCAATTAGGACAATAATTATAAGCGTCGGTAAACCACGAGAAATTAGAAGGTTTTAATCGAGAAACTCGATGGGAGACGACACGCTGATGAGAGTATCACAATTTGTATAAAATTATATAGACGCGGGAAGGTCGTTTATTTTCCCGTTGAAGTAAACCGTTTGTCAGAAATCGCAATGAATTCCAAGAGAGACACGTTTTACGAGCACTACTCGTCGTATACGGAATATTAAAGGAATGACAGTCATTTCGAAAAATCCTTTCTTGCATTTTAAAAGGCGCTTTTTCTCTCTCTCTTTCTCTTTCCCTCGACGATTAATGTATATATAAACGTGGAACGAGCGAGAAATATTAAACAGATTATTAAAATGCGCGGCAATAATTGATAAGGATAGAGAGACATAATAAACTCGCGAGCTTGTTTAAAAGGACAAGGGCTATTGAATAGGATGGAAAAAGCGCGTTTACACGAGCGCGAACAAGGATTTTCAATAAAGTAACACATTTTCTGGTGTCGAGGGTCGCGAAGAGCGCGAAATACATACAAACACACATATCTATATATCCGGATACGTCCATGTCGCGTTCGTAATCCGTTTAGTGACCGGAAAATTACTCGAACGGAAACTAATTAAAGATAGTTATCGGCCGGCTGGCGCAACGAGTGTACGAGATTTGTTAATCGGGAATTAATCTCTCCGGGCGATAAGAGAGAGAGAGAGAGAGAGAGAGAGAGAGAGCCGGTTGAAAGTGCCATCGCTGTGTTGAACTCGAACAGGGTTAATCCGGATTAAATTCCTGAGTCCCTCTGCTACCAATAAAACCAGAAAGGGCAAACACACTCCGCGGAATATCTCGGGACAGGTGCATTTCAGCGTGTCCCACGCGTGGATTACGAAACTACCGCAAGATAATAGGGCTTGTATGCTGTGTACACGTGTATACGAGATAAAACCCTTCCCGCATTGACGTTGCGGTGCTTTCTCGACCAAGAAACTTCGTTCGATAATCGTTAGACCATTCGATAAATGTCATCGAACGACGCCTTTATCCTTTCCAAATTTAGGAAATATGTTGTACCGAAATATTCGAATCGATAAGCAAATCATTTCCGGAAACTCGCGTTATATATTTCGAGAAAATAATTTAATATCCTTTTTTCAGGGATTTTTTTTTTATTATATAATATACCATGTGATAGCACATAGTAATTTAAAGATACCTGGACACTTTTATTATTTAGCAATATTTTGTAGAAGATGGGAATTCAAAAATTCTATTAACTATTGTGATGTTATTATTACTATTATGACAGGACAAAATGTAATATTGTGGAGAATGTGAAAAACAGTTTCGACGAAAAGTAAAAGATGCGGAAGAATTAGATTTTAGATGCCGAAAATGTGTTTAAATAACGTTATTTATCCATACAAAAATATTCGCATTTTTCATCTCTCAAAGTTATAATTTTTTTCAAAAATTATATCTTCAAAAAATATATTATTTTACACGGAGAGAATAAATGCTACACAAAGAGAATTCTCTCTTAGAATTTATCCTGAAAATCATAGTAATCATGGGACAATGATATGATATTGAAAGAATTTTATAAGAATTTCTCTGATTAATACTTATCACAATAAAATATTTTTTATTGTGGTAAGCGGTAAATATTAATCAGAAAAACTCTTACCATATTGTCCCACGATTACCATGTGATTTTCAAAGTAAATTCTAAGAGAAAATTCTCTTTGTGTAGCATTATACAGAATGTCTGAATTTTTTGCATGAATAATCAAATTTTTCTCAATATAATAAGAACTTTCATGACTATCAAGCAAAATTTTGCAATGTGAAATTTATATTTCACGATCTTCATTTTTATATATTATTTTATATACATGTATAAGATCAAGATTGAGATATTTATTTCAATTTGTAAAACATTGAAAAAAACTGTTTAATTTAGAATTATTATTTTTATATAACAGATAGTAAAACTAAATCATTTAACACCGCAATTTAAAGTCTATATAAATATATATATATCACATAATAAAATTTTATAAAAATGTGCGTCAATTTCTCTTTTTATCAAATATGATCCCCCTAATCGGCTTGATACACGATACCTTCATATCACGCTATTAGGTATTATCCTTCTTTCGCGAACAATTATAGGATCTTTCCTCCTTTGTAAACATCCGCGGCTAAGTAACATGTCCGGTTCGATGAGAGACAGAGGGTTGCAAGTCGCAAACAATACTGCGATCATCACGAAACGCTATACGTACGTTGACGAAATTCGACTTAAAATCCGGGTATTCGAATCTAGGGACACAAGAGGTCCATTATCGTCCGAAAGGACAGAGAGGGATCGAAAAAAAGACAAACAATGGAGGAGATCAAGCGTCTGAAAATGTCGCCGACACTTTCTCGTCGCGGACGTGCGGCCTTTTATGGAGGCCCGGGCTTCGTGTTTTTGCTCGTGTAATTAAACGCCAGGACACGGTACAATGACGGACACGACAAAGGCGAAGGCATTTCCCCGAAAGATGATTTGTTCGTTCAACGGCACAATAGATGTTACGTGTCGGACATTTACTTATTGTGGAGCGACGCGGACGAGCTCCCTATCATGAGGGTTTTTTTATCAAACTTATTTTATCGAAAATTCTTTGCATACGCGATTGTGGAAAAAATTAATGACGAAATTTAGCTTATATTTAATTAGATGTCTTCTATATACAGGGTATATCTAAATAAGTGCAACAAATTTTAGGAGATAATTCTTTGTCGAAAATTAAGGGAGGTTTCTTATATAAACATAATATACTCTTATATCCCTCTCTTTAAAGTTATATCTTTCCTATTTTTCTAAAGAAATAGGTAAAAATTAAGTTTTTATATTTTTTAATACTAATAAATATCCTTTTTATTAGTAGAAAATATCCACCAAGTTTCATTTTTTAAATTTAACTGAAAAAAAGTGTAACTCCTCAAGAAGGGATGTACAGAAACCCCCCTTAATTTTCGACAAAGGATTATCTCCTAAAATTGTTCACACTTATTTAGATACACCCTGTATAACCCACATAGTTTATAATCGGAATATTGATAGCGCAAATATTTGATAACATAATATTTCTTTGGGCGTGTATAAACTGTATGCGGCCGCGAGAGAGATTGCATTTGGTTTTTTGGTGCAAAAGAAAATATGCTTTCGTTCAAGAGGTTCGAAGGAGCAAGATATAAAGAGACGATAGGGTACTTACCTTTAAGAGCCACTGTGAGGGCGCGTAACCTTCCCGTCATCGCCGCGAGCTGTGTCTTGTGCTTTATGGAGTCGGCGTCGGCCTGCTCGGTGAGAGTACGCTGCAGCAACCTTTGCGTTTCCTGCTCTTTGACCGAAAGTGCCTCTCGAAGATGATCGGCGTGTATCTCCGACTGCAATTTCAGCTGCCGCCGCATCTCGTCGTCCAGTTTCTTCTGCTCCGCCAGCAGCTGAAACACGAGGATGAATGTCGCTCGTAAACATGAACAACGCATTTCGTTCTCGCATTTTACGTTTTATTTCTTTTTTTTTGTCAAAATAATCAGAAAACGAAAAAATACGGTTTTGTATACATATATATGTATAAATATAATAGAAACGAGAGAGAAATATATTTTTCTAAGTAAAAGTTTTATTCTAAGAACGCCGTCAATTTTTTTAAGATTTTTCCACCTCCGCTGATAAATGTTATCATGTTGATTTATATACATTAGTTAACTTTTATCTCGTTTATTAAATTTAAGCATGACTTGTGACTTATAAATTTATAACACATCGCGTCTTTTTCCTTCAGTTCTTTTCACGGAGATAGGAGGAAATAAACGTCACCCGGAGGATAAGGCAAAGTCTCCGGAGACTAGATAACACGATGCATATCAGTGCTTTAAAGTCTAAGATAGCTGTCTGTCGACAGCTTGGTGACACATTATTGCAAAGTACAAAAAAGTGCACCAAGTCATCTCGGGGCGTTCCGAGAATCTCACAAAATGACAAAAAGTATACATTTCTTCGTGGTTTGCACGTGGCTCTTTGTCCGCAAACAGACAAGAGAGACGGAAAGAATGCCCTTATTTTTACAATATACACTATATCACAAAAGAAATGTACAAGGTATCCTAAATTAGAGAGAAATTCTTAATCGAGAAAAAGAGAAAGAGAATCGATTTTAGCAAAACTTTTCCATTTCATATTCTTCGCAATTTTAAGTGTGTACAGATTAATATATAATTTTGTATAGATTGTGTTATAAATTTTATTTTAAATATATCTTGATAAAATTATATAGCAATTCATCTAGATACTTCAGATAATATTGTAGTTTAAACCGCTTATGTAAACACAGTTATAAAAAAATATAAATTATAAAAGAAATATAAAAATATATTCATACTTTTATTTATAAGTTTTAAGCACTGCTTATTGTTAGTTCTACTACTTAAGTATTTTTATGCGCTATGACCCTCAACCAAATTAACTGACTATTATTCTAGATAATTTAGCAAAATCGATACTCTTTTCCATCTAACATAAGATGCAGATATATTATAGATAATGCATATTTTTATTATCTATATAAAGATAAGAAGACGCGAAAAAATTTCATCTGGATGATCATATCTATATAATTTTATTGAGATAGCAGCAAACACTGTTGACAAGTTTGATAAAAAAATCAAGATGCAAAATTTAATTACCGATGTATAAGAAGAGAGCTTTCGTCCCGCAAACATTAGGTACCACCCTCAAAAGGCGATAATGCCGTTCAAGGTACACAAGCCTCGAGGCATTAGCCTAATGAGACTTTGATGAATTATCCACACTTAAGACATCACACCCGGAGAACCGCCCTCAATGGGTAGCGATCCACGCCAGGAAAATCTGGCTCGTCCCTATTTCTCGCGTCCTCTGTTTCCCGTCTGACGATCTCGATCGACCTCACTCTGGGACTCTCGGCTCCTCTTACCTCACCCTGACCGACACGTCGTGTTTCAAGCAACGTCTCCGTGTTCCGTGGACATGCATCGGCCCGTCATCGCCGTCGGAACTCCATGTACCCGTGTCAATAATTAACGCCCGGCTGACCCGACAACTCGACCGACCCGTTTGACTCAAGGATGCACAAGAGGGATCTCTCTCGCTATCGTTGCCACACGAGACGTGGGTCTTCCAGATCGTAACTTATCAGTTACCCCGTTGTCTACGAGAACGGCAAATGGATAGGTTGAGATATATAGTTAATAATATCGATTGCCGATATAAAACCGAAGACGAAGGGGAAGCAAAAGGGGTTGGAAGAGATGCCGTTACAAAATATGATGCGGAATCCAGAACAAGAAGAAAAACAACTCGCGATCTCTTAAAATAGCGATGCATTTTTCACGTTGTTGTGCAACAATCGATGTGCCGCGATGACAGCGACGTTAAAAGAGGAAGAAAAAAATGTTATTATATAATAAAATAATATAAAGACGAATAAAACAGAGGAGGCAGAGAGGACTATTATTTCATCCGAGCGAAGTTTAAGCTCCGCGTTCCAACGCGTCGCTCCATATAACCCATTTTTCAAAAAAAAAAAAAAAAAAAGAAAAAGAAAAAGAGAAAAAACCAAAGCACTTCACTAACACCGGTCGCATACCGCAATTGCGCCAAGCCGGATTAATTAAATGCGGTAGAAGAAAAACGCGCGTGCCGCTTATATTCGCCAATTCATGCGAAAATCGTTTTGCTCGCAACAAACATCGCGACAGATGTTTTTATATCCTCTATCTTTTCGTAATGCTACAACCACACGATTAATGGTATTACAATATTTACGCACTTATTATATTTGTAATTACTCCAATTTAACCTAACCATATTGTCCCACAATTACCATGATTTTTATGGTAAATAATGTTTTAATACACAGAGAGAATTTTTTCTTAAAATTTATCATAAAAATTATAATATGATAATCGCGGGACATTATGGCATTAAAATAATTTTAAAAAATATTAATAATATCTATCATAATAAAATATAAAATATGTTCGATTAATAATAAAATTTATTAATGCATATATTACTATTTTTTATTGTGGTAAATATTAATCAGAGAAACTCTTATAAAATTCTTTCAATACCATATTGTCCCACGATTATCATGATTTTCAGGGTATAAATTCTACACTGACAAAATTATTAAATTAATAAATATTTATTTCAATACTGCCTAATAAATCATTTATTTGAAACAAATAAATATTTATTAGTTTTGAAAAGAATTTTCTTATATCAAATACATATTTTTCACATATCAAATCAATATTATTAGTTTCAAATAAATGATTTATTTGACAGTATTGAAATAAATGCATTCAAATTCATTGAATAAATTTTGTTTCAGTGTAAGAAAAAATTCTCTCTGTGTACATATGTATATATTAATTAATCAAACAATTTTTCAGTTTCGTCAAAAAACAAGAATGAATGGTATATATTGGCGCGTTTTTCTTGTGCGACTTAAAACGTGTAAAATATTTTTTTAAACAATGTAATTCCGTGCCTTTTCGTACGTGGCATTTATCTTTCCCTCGCTTGCTCTCCTTCGAATGCTGACGATAACGAATTCCGTTCGGTTCTCGCGTTTATCTCTCGCGAAGACGAATTCGACGAACAAAATCGCGACGGTTCTTCTCGGGGTTGCGCAACTAATTTAATGACGACAATTTGTACAGCGATCTACCTAGGGATCGCGACCAACGTGCGACGGTGAAAATCCCTTCCCGAAAGAAAGGAAAACGTATTTGAGGCTATTAACTCGCGCGCGCACAGATCGCGCCTCGCCGACTTCGTCGACCGATCGAAAGTTTGCCGATGGAAAAACTTGGAGCTTTTTCTAAATGTCGTGAACAGGAACTCGTAAAGTTCGCGTCTGCGTTCAACGATTACGCCGTGCTCGGTTTGATAATCGACGAGAACGGATGGAAAGATCCGCCTCGCCTTTTTTCTTTCACGACGAAATCGTGATCGATTCTTTCGTACTTACAAGAAAAATGACAGTAATAAAGAATCCGTGAAATTTTTACGAGTAATCAAAAATTTTTTTAATATATATTTCGATGAGATTTCGATAGAATTTCGTTCGCAGCTTTTTTTTCTTCGTGTGAGATAGATAGAGCAGGGAAAAGTCCTTCGTTTCCATCACTTTTATTTTGCGTTGACGGCAAGTCATACATACGAGAGAAGATTCAAATGGAACTGTATGATTTACGTATATTTTTTTCAAGTCACGAGATTTAGACTAGACTTTACGATAATGAGTCTCAACTTTTCGGCCGTTTCGATAAAAATATTATTCCTTTGACAAAAACATGTATCTTGCAATAAGTTATAAGTTCCTTCTTAAACGCGCGTCCTCAAATAAAATGCTAAAGCACGAATAGTTTTAGAGTTGTAATACTTTGCCAATCGAAAATCGATAGTTCCCTATTGGAAATGAAGGGCTTTTCACTAAACTTTTCGAATGCAGTTAAACGAAGAAGAATAATCTTATTGTTCATATTCAATCAAATTTTACTTCTTATTCAATTTCAATTCGTGATTTAATTCCCATATTTATAATGTCGGATTAAGAAATTCTATGACACAAATGACATCCTACGCACGATATTTTTTTCAAGAAAAAATTCTCACAAAATTTGTCGTTCAAGATTGAAGATTTCTAAAATATTTTATCTCAATAAAGATTCCTTGAAAATTAGCTACGACACTTCGTCTTTAAATTATTTCGGAATCTCGGATACAGAGAGAAAGAATGGGAACGCTACTTATCCACGTGATTCATGGGTGTAAACAGGAAAAATCAATGTTCCAGAAAGGAAACCACGTGATCGATTGCATCACGTTGGCGTTAATGCAAAGAATTTCTCGATTTACAGGAAAGTACATCGCGCCTTAATATTTAACGCCTGTTCGTTCCGCGAGGCCGATTTAGTCGCCCTGTACACGTCGTGTAATATTTTTCCTACCGACCAGGGTACTTCCGTTTAAAAGCAGATATACGACTGTCGAGCACGTGCGCTAAACGCTCGTCCGAGTATTCTGGAGAACCGCATGTCGGAAAGGATTCCCGAGGATTTTAAACTTGCGCGCGCATTCCGTATTTATAAAAAACAAGAGGAAAATATTAAATATAGAGAGAATATTGGAATTTTAAAGGATATATTAAAGCAACACGGAGTGGTTTCTCTCCGCAGAGCTTGAATTAATATACGAGTCATTTTATCCACTGAGAACAAAATTAGTGGGTATTCTTTTTACAAAAACCAACTCCATTAAATTAAATTAAATTTATTAACTTTTGTGTGCAAAAGCTCTTAGTACAAATAACTTCTGTACCGTAAATTTTAATTGCGTAATGTGTATTGTATGGTCGATTGTTTCGCGCTTCGTAAAATTATATTATCGGCGATACTTTGGTAAAGCGATGAGCTTTAAAAGCTACATAGAAAATGGATCGGACTGAGTTTCTCTCGCGATTCGCCTTTCTTCCCACGATGGGAAGAAAGAAGATAAGCTTCGCTCGCTCGTTCGCTCGCTCACGAGCGGGATAAAACAAATCGCGGTAAAAAGTTTCATCGATAATTCACGTCTGTCGCGGTAAATAACTTTCAGGTGTACTGCCATAAAGATACCTCGCGACCAGGCCACGGCTGAAATCCCAAACGGCGGCTGCAGATAAGGAACCTTGAATTTTTCAAGCTCTCCTCCATACGGATCGTATGGGAATACGTTGTGTATTCTTACTACTCTTTTATGACTTTTACACGAAATTTCATTTATTCATTACGAACGCACAACAAACAATAACCGTGTTATTAATTTTTATCATTTTTTTATATTTATAAGATATATATACATATATATATATATATATATATATATATATATATATATACACAGAGAAGAATTTCCTCTTAGAATTTACCTTAATATATATATACCTTAATATATTTACTTTATATACATATATATATATATACAGAGAAGAATTTTCTCTTAAAATTCACCCTAAAAATCATGATAATCATGGAATATGGTATTGTAAGAATTTTAAAGTTTCTCTGATTAAATATTTACCACAATAAAAAAAATTAATATCTATCACAATAAGATGTAAATTATGTTCGACTAATTTTACTACTCTGAAAAAGAAATTGATTAATTTCGAATAAATATTTATTTCAATACTGCCTAATGAATCATGTATTTGAAACTAATATTATTGATTTCATGTGAAAAATATTTATTTTAATATAAGAAAATCCTTTTCAAAGCAAGTAAATATTTATTTCAAATAAATGATTTATTAGGCAGTATTGAAATAATTTTTTTTCAGTGCATATACATAGTAAAATTTACTATGTACATATTAATATTTTCTATTAAATCTGGTAAATATATTAATCAGAAAAACTCTTATAAAATTCTTCCAATATTATATTACCTTATAATTACCATAATTTTCAGGATTTAAATTCTAAATAAAGATCTCTCTGTGTATCTATTCGAAAGAAAAAAATTCTGAGAAGTAACTATTAATTATAATTATACAAATTGCAAAAAACCGTAAAAAAAACTTTCTTAAAGGGAACTAATAATTGTCACCGTATAGCTTCTATTCGTTTCCACTCGAAAAATTTTTGCAACGTGGCTACAAACCGGTCTCTCTCTCTCTTTCTCTCTCTTCGGATAAAATCAACAATAATAATAAATTTTTTCCGAGTTGATTCTGAAATGTTAACTCTTTTTACCATTTTTCCCGATAATTTGCAGCGCAACTTCGCGTCTCGACTTTCGGGGCGAAAACATTCGAAGTCGTTCGAGTAAACGGGGACAAGCAGTTGTTTTTTCGTGACGAAATTACGTTAATTAAATCACGCAAGAAAGCATCACCGTAAGTGATTCGTGATTCACCGTCTCATCTATGATTATAGGACGATGACGACACTTTCGTCGCTTTTATTATCCGCCTCCTCCTCGGTGATCCATATATCGATTGTCGTGTCGCGAAATGAACGGTCGTTTGTTAGCGACAACAAATGAACAAATTATACAATGATTTCCATTAATTAATTCCACTCTCATATATGTAATTTAATGGATGACACAGGGATATCGCCACGAGCGACGCCCGTCCACGATGCATTAACGGTGAAATATTCGGCCGGACATTAACGAGCGGTACCGGAAGCTCGTAGACAAATAGCAATTAGAGGACACCGCTGTTCCCGTCCTGAAACGAGAACAAAAGGTCGTCCTCGCCGCGTTGGATCGATCCGACAAGATTTATATTCCGCCTAAAAGAGAGAGAGAGAGAAGGACGACAGGAATATAAAGAAAAGGGGCCCGGAAAAGAGCTGTCGGACAACTATGAGGACACTAAGTCATAATGGTTCCTCGACGAATACCTCGCCGGTGGCATACGGTGGCTACTCTAAGGGAATAATATTGCCGAGCTGCCGTCGAAATATTGGCGTCCGGCCAAATGGAAATAAATAAAACGGCCGAAGGGAGGCTGCAGGCTGCGCTGCGCCCAAGAGACCGTGCCGCATTCGGATATATCGCATTATATATACATATATATGTATTTTTTATTTAAAAATTCATATGCAAGTAAAATGTAACGCGCCGATCTGATCCGAACGCGATTTCTCCCTCGGAAATCGATCCAGTCTCGTTTGATTCGCAAAATTCGCATATGCGCGAGTTTAAAAGAAGGATGTGACAAAGGATTGTTGAAAAAAATCCTGGGAAAAAAGCGGCAGAATTTTACAAAATGCAATACCTTATTCCTTTGCTAAATGACACCCAAATATTATTTTATGCGCGATGCAACCGGCTCGAGAGAGTCTTAAAAAGGTATTAAAGCGGCTACGAATCATTTTCACCCGTTGTTACTTTCTTTTTTCCGTTATTTTCCGACGCTTTTTAATGAAGGTCTGTTTTATCACCGCGATCTCTATTTTTTCACCTTACAACTCAAGCACTTTCAATTCCCACCGAGGTGAGTTTTTAACTGTCCCTCCTTTATCATTTTTTCTTTTTTTTTTTTTGCTTTTTTCCGCAGAATAAATTGTCATCTCTCAATTACATACATCATTATCGTCGCGAAGAACGATTTAATAATAAAAGCACCCTGCGTTATTCTCTCTTTTAATTCATGTGCCTCTCTGCATATCGTAATGGCAGAGTTGAACTTCTCGACGCATGAATGCGCAAACTCATGACATTAGGGCAACATTGTGACATAATGATGCTCAAGCTTACCTCTATTCACATTTATGTATATCAGAAAAAAACGAAGCGTGAAAGCACGCGGACATCAATGAACGATTCGCATCACAACAAACATCACGCTTTAAAGTCGTTTCTGATCGTATCTCCCGAATACATTGATTTTGCAGTACTTTTTTTGCAGAATTCATATAAGCAGAAATGCGATAAAACGCGTCGCGTGTATATAAAACTTATTTTAAAACGTTCTTAAATTTAAAAATTTAATATTCTTCTATAGATCTATATATTTATGATTTATACACAAAAACAAATTAATTTTTATAGCTAAATTTTAGCTGTCCTTATATTGCAATTTGAATTTTAGTTATCATGCCTAAATTTTATAACTATGATAACTAATATTTTTTCGCTATAGTTTAACGGAGAATAATATAGCTAAAAATATTAGCTATCATAGCTAAACTTTAGGCATGATAACTAAATTTCATATTTAATAAAGGGATAGCTCAAATTTAGCTATAATAGTTATGATAGTTGATTTTTTTCCGTGTACATATATAAAAACCGACAAAGAGAATTTAAAACACGGGGAAAAATTTTCCTACCTTTTTCGCGTGTTTGTCTTCGAGCTCGAGTCTCTCCTGCTCGACTGCGAGAACGATCAACGCATCCAACTTTTCTTGAGTCGCATCTTCACCCGCCGCTCTCAATGCCGCTTTCACTTTAGTTTCGCTGACTGTCTGCAATCAAATAATTATCTTATGAAAATACTGTTGATAATATTAATCTCATATAAAAATGGCGCTTTAATAATATGAGAATTTTAAAGATATGTATGTATTGACAAGCCATGAAAGATTTCCATAAAAAAAATATTGACAACGTACCCTTAGCTTCTCCAGCTCCTTCTGCAAGTTGTTAACTTTATGATACATATGTAAAACGAATAAATCGAAGGCTCCTTCGCTGACAGATAATTTCTTGTCATGAATATTTATATTGGGGAACAGAATTTGCAATTCTTCGTTAAAATCTTCCCGCGCCGTTTTAATTTGCTGCCAGTAACGCTCGGCAAGATTACTATTCTGCAGCTCTTCGGTGTATTTCTTTTTCGCCTCGTCCACATCGTCCATAATTTTTCTAACGTTTCGCCTCGCGGCTGTTTTCATGTGTGCGGGTGCTTCGAGCACGGATTCATCAATTAAATTGTACATGCGCTTGAGCGAATTTAACGCGTCTTTCGCGTGCTCCTCTGCTTGCTGTACCAGCTCTTTCCTTTTTCCGTTGCCTCTTTCAACCTGCAAAATCACAAAGTAAATCTGATTATATAATCGATACAAAGATGAGGCGTGAAACGATTACATAAGCATAACGATGATCACCTTTGCCAAACGTTTCCGCTTATTGTACTGCCAGTACTCTCGATCACTTTGACAACATCCTGATTGTAATTTTTAAGTGCGTCCACCGCCTTATGATAAGCCGCGATAGCTTTAGTAGCTGCTTCGCCGCAGTACGTTTCTAATTCGACAAGATTTTGCGGCATCAACTCTTTGGGTACATTTTTGGAAGGGGGTGTTGGTTTTTCAACCACTGTAAAAAAACAAAATACAATTACAATTTAATAATCTGTATAGAAATGCTTCATATGCGAAATAATTTCGAAAAATATGCAAACGTACCAACGTCTACTTTTTCACCCTTCTCTTTACTAACACGAATTTCGGCATAGTTCTCGTTAATAGGCGCTTCTTTCTTCTCGACCAATGGTTTAAAAACTGGCTTGGGTGCTACAGTACACATATACGATTGTCAAGGATTAGTGGGAATATTATTTTAACATATATGTACGATTTAGTAATTAATTATGCTCTATGTATTATATCTAATTCTATTATATTGAATTTTGTAATATAAAAAATTATAGATAGGAGTTAGGTTATTACAAAGGAATAAAGATGAAAAAAAGAATAAAGCACGAAAATAGGATTAAAGAAATTAGGAATTAGGGATAGGACTCACGTATGTATTCTATAAGTTTTGTGTGATTTAATCTTTTCTGACCTGGTTCTGGTTTTGATGTTTCCTGGATGAACAAGTCCAGTATTCTGTAAAAAATATTTATTTTAAAAACCAATAATTATTAACAATTTTAAACATTATAGTATATATTATATTTTATTACGTCTGTTTCAATGTTTTGAAGAATGTAAGTACAAAGTCGAAGTAGTTGGAATCTTCTTGAAAAATAATCCGAATAGTTTTGTCCGTGCCAGGAATCCATCCTTCAAGAGTAGCTCGAGTTTCTGGATTTTGCTTTACATACGTTAATATTCCTAAGGTACCTATTGTTACAGCTCCTAAAGTTATCAGCGTTCCTGATCCTCGACTCTTCTCACTATTACAAACCAAAAGCATAATTATTTTTTATCCAAATCAGTTTATCTTCTCTCTTATAATATAGTACACAGCCAAAATTATATAAACAGTCAACACAAATAATGGGAAAGTAATTGAAACATGCATTAATTCACTAAAAATATAATAATATATAATATATAATATATAATTATATTTCTTATATAATATATAATATATAATTATATTTCTTTAGCATACTAAATATTTTTAGTTTATATTTTGTGTACCTTTTTGGCGGTGTGGTCGAATAGGACTTGGGTCCAGCAAACCTGGACATAAGTCTGACATCCTTGCGCAATCTAAAAAAAATATAATAAAATAAATTAAACAATACACAATTATTTAAAACAAATTATTAAATAAAAATATTTATATTGCTTGTCAAAAATGAAAATTTCATGCAATCGATAACTATGTAATTCCAAGTCATTTGAATACAGTAAGAAAAGCGCGTAAATATTTTTTCCGACATACACACGTTTATAAAGTTCTTACTACTATTTATCACTATATTATTTTTATTCACTAGAGAATGCTCACATGCTCAAACATAACCTCACCGCGATTTACGATTTAACGCGCGAAATCACACTCGTAAATAAAAAATAGAACCAAGTAAAGCCCGTCGCATTTCAAAGCTGATACGAAATGCGAATGCAATCTTAATACGAAATGACACTTTTGACAAGCGTTGACAATCCGTCAATGAGAATTCTCGCCGGGAACTCACCTCCCGTCCGGTTCGTATTTGACGCGCGTTCGCTCATGATACCTGGCCGTCAATTGCAATCTGGAGCAGCCGTGTTTCTTGATCTGAAACAGCAACGACGAACGGTCAATCAAGTGCTTCCGAAATTATGTAAGATCTTCGTAATCGTGCCATCTTCGTCACGCGCGCGAGACGCGCGAAATCGCGAGTTCGCGGCGACGAGATTTTATCTGTCACCGATCCTCGAAGAGGATCTTGTCACAGATCCATCCGCGAGTCTCGTCGCCGGGTCCGCGACAGCCGACGAAGGAGGAAAGAATCGTCGGAGCGATGCACGTCGCGCGCGACACTGCTCGGACTCCCGTCGTCGCGGGCGACGTTTTTTCACCTTTCCTCGTGTTTATCCCTCGGAAACAGATAATTCGACGTCTCACTCGCGAAACTCGTTTCTACGTACCCGAGTTAGACCGTTGCACGGAAATTTTAATCCAATTCGGAGCATCTTTCGAGTGGCCGGTTTCGGGCAGCCCAGTGGGGGAGAAAGGGACGACGGCACAAAACAGCTGGTCACGTCAGTGACGTGACGTCACGTCACGTCGCACGCCGGATCGGATGGAACTGCGCGAACCGAAAAGAAGAATGTTGCGTGTCGTGAGCGCGACGCTGCGAGGTGGGTAAACGCGCGTTTCGCGACCGATTCCGCGATCGGGGAACGCGTGCCGGGGATCTGTCGAATCGTGATTTCGCGCGGCACTGTTCGTTCGTCGCCGATTTCGCGATCTGTCGCGACGAGAACGACGAGAGCGCGACGTTGAGAGGTTAGGTCCGCCGTCTCGCGACGTCCGCCATGACACGTGCGACTGACGCAGGGAACAGCGCGGAATCCGAAACGTGGCGCGCAGATTTGAACGCGATATTTTCGAGTTTGAAGTTTTCATCTCGAACGATCGAGATTTTTTTATTTTCAATCTATTTAATTATTTAATTTATTTGTTTATTCTAGTATTGCAGTTAATTACATTTGATAAATGTGTGTGAAAAGATCTGTAACAGATAAAGTATTTATATATATCTCAGAAAAATATAAAGAAAAAATCAATTTCATTATTTAATTTATTTGTTTATTCTAATACTGCAGTTAATTGTATTTGATAAATGTGTGTGAATTGTGTGAAAAGATCTGTAACAGATAAAGTATTTATATATATCTCAGAAAAATATAAAGAAAAAATCAATTTCATTATTTAATTTATTTGTTTATTTTAGTACTGCAGTTAATTGCATTTGATAAATGTGTGTGAATTATGTTTGAAAAGATACCTAACAGATACAATATTTATATATATATATATATATATCTCAGAAAAATATAAAAAGAAAAAATTTAATTATTTAATTTATTTGTTTATTCTAATATTGCAGTTAATTGCATTTGATAAATGTGTGTGAATTGTGTGAAAAGATCTGTAACAGATAAAGTATTTATATATATCTCAGAAAAATATTTAAAAAAAAATTTTTTAATTAAAATATAAAGATAAAAAATATGAAAAGATTTTTACAAATATATCCTATAAGCACATGTTTTACTTTGTTGTTTCAGGAATTGCAGCGAGAGCAACAAATATTAATGTGACAAGTTCTGTTGCTTCAAAATGTAATCTCATTTTCAATTCTACACAGCAGAGAAACTTTGGAGCATTATCAATCGCTGTCCAGAACTGGACTACTACTAATCCAGTGCAACATAAATCATTATTAAAGTAATGTATAATATTGCTAAAGTAATTCATGTGCTAGAATATAATGTTTTTTACAAGAATAGAATGATTTCTATGTGAAATAATATAATATCGTGCAAACATTTATATAACAAAAATAATATCTTTTTCAGTAATGCAATAACAGAAAATCGTCTAGCATTGCCAACAGACCCTATTAATGTACCAGTAAGAACACTAATCAAGTTTTCTATGAAAAAAGGAAAACGAAAAACAGTAAAGACAGTCCTAAAACGTTTTTATAGATTACACTGGTAAGATTTCATGGATATTTAGTGATTACAATAATCCTGAAAAAAGTATTGCTTATATTAAAATGCCTGATAAACATATAGTAAACTAGAAACAAAATAAATTTGAATTAATATACATAAATAACACGATAAAATATTACAGGGGTATCTGGATTAGAACAAGAACTGGTCGAAAGAAGCATCTGTGGAGGAAAACGTACGACAGAAGGAAGAGATTGCAACAGCATGTATTCTGCAATGCCACGCAGTGCACAATGCTAGACAAAATGGTAACCAAATATTGGCGTAGACGACATTATTATGTTGACGATCCATATGAACCGTATCATAATCGAGAAGAATTTATTTTCACTCGAAAAAGACCACTTCCTTAATTATTTCTATATATTAATTATTATGTAATTGTAAGTGCAGATTGAAATAGTAATAAAAATGTAATCTAATTGTAAGTTGTAAATTGCATTTCTTTAATGATATATATAATAAATATTTTTTAATTAATTATATTCTACTATGCACTTAAAATTAGTATAGATTAAATATTGACAAAATCGCATATAAGTATTGTAAACTAATTAAAACTTATAAACATGGATTCTATTAATCTTTGCAAAAATAATTGATTAAGATACGTGAAATACTGTTTTCACAGATTCTATTAAAAGTTTACAAGTACTTTTAATTAGAGTGCAAAATGTCAATATCCAAGATATATGTGATTCATTTCTCGCAGCAGATGTCGGAGTTTTTTTAATTCGATTTTTTGATGTCGCTGCAAAATGATAAGAGATATCACAATATGTCACGTTCAATATTTCATGAAATATATATTACATTCTGTTCATGAAATACATACTTTTATCACTTTTATTTCTTGTATTTTTATCCTCTTCTCTAATCCGCCGAAATTGCATTGATCAACACTCACTTTTGAAAGCGGAATTATATAACCTAACCCAACCTAACCAAACGTCACGTAGACAGTCGCCACTACGAGGTGTTCGAGAGAGCTACGGAGTAGATGCCTGTTAGTCGCGATTTGTCCTTCGCGAGGTGCGTATCTTGTTGAAACCATTGTGATCGTATGACTTTTTGCTCGTCTTTCGTTATCAGGTGACTGCGTATTTTTACTCCAAGCGGCGATAACGCGATAATAAATAAAGATGACTTATCGCGGAAAGCTGCGACTGCTCGGCAGAACGTGTCTGGCATTCAGCAATTCGTGCGGGAAGAAAACCCAGGATAACCTGAATCTCGCAATCGTCGTCGCCAGCAGCAGAAATTTCTCCACGAGTCGCGCGCTCGATATGAGGTAAGCATAATCCCCACCCACGATTTCAATGTCGTAACATTTGTGTCGGGCTATTATTTTACCGCCGAATCTTTATATATATATGTGTACGCAAAAAAACGCAATACGGTGTCCATCAATAACAAGTTTCACTAAGGTAATAGATGTTCCTCGAAACTTTGCTGCCGACGTTAGACATATCATTTTTGAGAACAATTTTTGGGCTTTTATTGTGTACAATTCGACTCTTGGTTGATTATTTGTTCGATTATATAAAGTCAGAATAAATGTAATATTATTTAGTATTTTTTTCATATAACTTATATTTAGGATGAAAACTTGTACTTTATTGTTTTTTTTATTGCATTTTAATTAGTTGTTCAAGTCATAATTAAAAGCCTTAAAGAATTCATTGTCGAGATGCGAGAATGTCATTTAAATTTATCGAAAATCAGATTGAGCCTGTTAATTTTTTTAATACTAATATTTTAATAATTATATCTTAATAATTTTTTAATAATTTAAAAATATTTTTTTAGCACGTAATAATATATCTAATAGTTTCGACTTTTGTGTCTCAACGGTTATTAATTTACATATGTATTTTGAAAAACTTTTCTATACACAATACATACATACGTAAGGACATGCTAATGTTAAGTGAATTATTTTTATTTTTTTCTGATTGATATAGCAATGTTTTACGATATAAGAAAACAGTTGTATGTCAAAATTTATCAAAAAGATAAATAAAATTTTTATAAAATAAAATATATGACAAAAAGAATATTATGAGAATTATTTCTTGGATAGCAGATAATTATTAAATGTTTTTTTTTAATCAGAACGCGTATAAGTCCAAAAATATGCATAAAAAAGAATTCTGATTTATGCATACTGATAATAAATGATAATAAATGTTATATTGTAGACAATTTCTTTACATTTTACATCATTTCTGTATGCTAACTGTCTGCTTTAGTGGAAATAACAGAGTTACAAAAACACGTATATATAATATTTAGAAAGTAGATTATACATAACTCGACTGATTTTATTAATCCTTATTAACCGCGCCTATCGCGATTTTTTATTGCGATAACAGGTTGATTACGATTTACGATACGATATTTTCGCAGGTTCGTTCAATTCACAAACAAAAACGGGGGCCCCCAGCATCTCGGGGTCCAGCTGAAACAGGGAGGCGACATCATCGCCGTGTCAGCGGTCGACTCCAGGATCCCGAACTCGCTAAAAAAATTTCTCGAGGGCGGCGACGACCTTCTCAAGAAGGCTAAAAGGTAGGAGAGCGATTTGAACAGCTGTGAGAGACCTGGGGCCTTCGTATATGAGAGTCACATTACAAATATGTCTACGCGCGAAAGATAAGCGAGAGTTCATGCATCTGTATTGAAAATATTTACTGTTCGCTGTGATTTATAATCATGACACCAGATAGCCAGTTTTTTTTATTACTCGGAATTATAATACAAATTATGCTAACCAAACCGATTTAGAGTATAAGTGACGAAATAATCACGTTACGCTCATTTCTAATACTGAAATTAGCATTAAAAAATAATTAGGACTTTAACTTGTCTGAATTATTTCGCAAGCTTTTCTTTTATCTTATACTGTAATAGTATAGTAATAAACAGATGTAATGCGAAAAGATAAAGATTACTTGATCTTATCGTGAACATTTGTTTCACTAGGGAAGACGATATCGACCTAAGGAAGACAGTAGAAAGGTTGGTGCTTTGGTCATTCAATTCATGTGACATAAATAAGTAGTTATGTCCCTTGTTTCTCCCGTATAGTAATATGTACATATTTATGTGTACATACACTCACATTTACATACACATACATGTGATTATCCCTTTTCGATTGAAATATATCAAAAGCCGCATCTTCGTTAGATTAATTAAACTATATTTATCCTGCTCTCGAATTAGCTTCATCAAAATTCACTCACTTTTTATTTTAATTTAATTTTTCATTGTAAGTATAATGTTCATTTTCTTTAAGCAAATATTTAGATAAATTATTTGCATAATGAAGATGCTACACTGAAAAAAAATTATTAAATTAATAAATACTTATTTCAATAATGTCTAATAAATCATTTACTTGAAACACATATTATTAGTTTTGAAAAGGATTTTCTTATATCTAATAAATATTTTTCATATCAATCAATATTATTATTTTCAAATAAATTATTTATTTTATTGGTTATTGAAATAAATACTTATTCGAGTTCAATAAATTGTTTTTCAGTGTATGAATATTTAAAGATATATTTAAAGTGTTCAAGTAAGCTGTCATCATTTATCCTAGACGGATAATTTATGTGCATAATTAGTTTCTATTCGAAGAAACGCTTATGATTACGAGAGTTAGCTTTGAAATACTTGAATGTGTAATCACAGTGTAATGCTACAATGTAATTAACATTTTACGCAATAACGAAATTTTAATCGCACGTAAATCAGATAGCTATTGTATTATATCAATCATTTGACAGTCACTCTATTTGCGATTTCGATTTAATTTATTAACGGGGAAAACCCATTAATGGATTGAATTTAAACGTAATCGAATATTAAACCGTAAATGACAATCGAATGAAAAAATCGATTTAAAATTGATTCACTCGAATCTCGTTACCAATTTGCACATCTCCAATTTAATATAACGATTGAAGAACCAGACATATCTTTCGTGACGAATAATCCTACACATAAGTGTGTGTACGGATTATTTTCGATCATTAGTAGAAAATTGCTATGTGTCACGCGCGTCGCCACGTGGCGTTTTATAAATTATTATTATGCATTGCATGTTTTCTACTGTGTTTGGATTTATCGATCTCGGTTTAAGTCTTGCAAACCACCGTCTTTATCGATTGGATCTGTTATCTCGTTCTAACTATGTGCCACTGTAACTTTTGAATTTTTTCAGAACGTATCGTATCTTTGAAAAATTGATTCTTATTTCAATTTGCAACCTATTCTTGATAGATGCACACTTATAATATTATAAGACCTTGTCTCCCTGCCAATTGGCGAACTTTCAAGTTTTCTTTGGTACGGTTAAAAAATTGTTGGTGAAAACAATAGCTCTGAATGGAGCAGTATTTATAATTGTTTATTTTTATACAAACTACCATTTTAAAAAAAATTAATGATTGTAATTTTATTTTTTACTTTTAATTTAATAGTCGCGATGATATTTAGCGATCAATGCAACTAGGACAAACGATAAAAATGCTAATTAATTTGCTGACTTATGCAATATCGCTTTTGTTATTTGTAGAAGTCGTAGTTTGCGCGCGTCACATGCAAGCATGGCATTTCTGTGCAAGAAATTCTATTTTATCTATATAATAGATAAAATTTATTTTTACTAGAAAATCGCATATGTTATATTTTCCATAAGTAATGTTATAATAATGTAATAAGCTTTGCAAAAGCTGTTGTTTTGCAATATACATTATATGACGAGCTGTATAATTTTCCTGAATTACTGGTTACAAATTATAAAGGCTAATAAATCGTTAAAAAATCGTGTACACATTATTACATTTGTAAATTAAACTTTTCTATATTTATTTTTTGCGTCAATCAAATTTTCCTCAGAACTTTCTCTCTCAAATTTCCATAAAGAGATTTAAGATTATAATAATCTTTTAAAAAGTAAATTGAAAAAACACATAGAAAAAAAACAGAGGCAAAAAATATTGTATTATTATCATTAGTGTTAAAATGCGATGCCTTTATATTAAACACTGTATGCATACGCTTAATTATCTCGAACTGATTATTTTTACACATATATTAAGAAAAATTGAAGGAAAATGATTTCAACAATAGAATCTGTACATGATATATTAACTATGTAAATACTTCAGTTAAATGAGAAATATTACTCATACAACACGTCACAACACGTCATATTTTACGAAAACTTAAAACCACACGCAACGTTTCTGTTATGTAATTTTGACCATGAGCAGATTAATCGGCAAGAAACACATTTGTAAAAAAATCTATCACGCGCATGTTGGGATTGACCAGAATAACACAATTTATCGGAAATGATAAGCTACGACAAATACGCAAACCGCAAGCTCGTGCTTTATCGATCAACAATACAAAATTAATGACGAAAAAAATTAACTGCAAAAGCTTTAAACTGGTGTTGTTATACGGCTTACTATTGTGAGTCTTCACTTTTTCTCTAAAAATTCGTTTGTTAAGCGCACATAAAACCGCATGTTGCCTATTATTGGGCAATAACAAACTTACAAAAAAGAAAATGCAAGCAAATTTGTGTGCCTGCAAATATATTAAAAAAATGTTTTCCTTTGTATCTTCTACCGTATTTCTGCATACGATCGTATTTGTTTTTTCTAACATCGTAAAATTCTATCGTAAGGATCTATACTTTTATCGCGCAAAAAAGAAAAAAGAAAAATATACTTAATTAGCTAGAGTTCACCTCGCGTGCGAGTTGATTAACTTTCATGAAACGATTTCAAGGTCTATTCTTGACTCGACTGACGATGGTTACAGAATAGTCGCCGAGGGACGGAGCATCACACCCGAGAATGACGTGAACTTCTTGGCGCCAGTTACACGAATGGACAAACTCGCCTGCATCGGTCTCAACTATAGCGGTCATTGTAAAGAGCAGGGTGTACCGACTCCGGAGAGTCCGATAATCTTTAGCAAATTTCCCAGCAACATCATCGGGCCACGCGATAACATCCTGCTGCCGCAGATCTCGGATGTAAGTCGACATGAAACGAGATAATCCTCGCCACGGGTTATCCTTGAAAGAAATTGCAATGATTCCCTTCGCCTATTTTCTTATGCCTGGAACCATATATTTTTAGATTATCGAGATTACGTCACGATCCCCTCCCTTATGTCCATGTTCCACTTTCATTTTCATTCCATTCACGTTTAAAGACGTGTGATACTATTGTGATATTTTTTTTACACGATAGCTTCGCGAGGTTCGCAGCTTAAATGTCTTGTCGACTCGCTTAGAAATTGTATATCCACGTGTCCGCCACGTCAAATTACTTAATTACGTAACTTGTCTTTGATAGAAGAATTTTAAAGTAAAGCAAAATGTGACAAATGATGTTATGTATAGGAATGACGTACCGGGAATCTGATTAAAGTGTGTAATATCTATTTTTTAATTTATAGAAAGTCGATTGGGAGGCCGAGTTGGCGATAGTGATCGGCAAGAGAGGTAAGTGCCTCAGCAATGAGAACGTCGAGGATTGTATCTTCGGTTATACAATAGCCCAGGATATAACAGCGCGTGATTGGCAAAAGTCAAACCGAAATGGCGGTCAATTTCTGCTCGGCAAAGCGATGGACACGTTCTGTCCACTGGGTCCGGCGGTCATTACCAAAGAGGCGATATGTGATATCAATAATCTATCTGTGAGGACATGGGTGAATGGTGAATTGAAGCAGGACGGCAACACTAGCGAACTTATCTTCAAGCCCCACGAAATCGTCATTTATCTTTCGCAGTTCGTACTTTCGTCAATAACATATCAATAATAATAATACGCGATTGTAGCTACACGTATTAACGATATTGATCGAACTTTTAGATTTATGACACTGTTACCAGGCGATGTAATCCTTACCGGCACACCGGCCGGTGTAGGATTCACACGTAAGCCACCAGAATATCTACAGGTACGTCATTCTAATAATATTAAGTTAAATTATGTATAAATATAAATATTTGAAATTATTTTTATATAAATAAAAACTGTCTTTCAGCGTGGCGACGTTTTGGAAACCGAGATCGAGAGTCTGGGACGTTTGAGAAACAAAGTAATCTGATCTACGAAACCGAGTATGCCTTTGGAAAGCGATATTAGAACTTCTTGATTTTCACAAGACTGGATGTTCTTTCGGGTATCGATATCCGCGATGACGTTGGATCATCTCAAAAGCTGTGTCTGATCCGGATCAGATATATATATATATATATATATACATACTCGAACGTCAACGATTTCAACGCGATTGCAAATGTTTATGCCAGAGATAACAGTATCGCCATTCTTCGCTCAGGGCACAAACACGCCTAGCAATATTGATAACACGGCAACGCTAATTTTCTATGTGTCACACATATTTTACGTACTTATATAATTAAAATTAGATTGTTTCTACTGTGTGTCTACTTTATCTCATCCAATCCAATCCACATAATTTTCATAGTTTTACATGTTTCAATGAAACGCATATTAAATTTAATCATGTGAAATTTCTATATATTCAATTGTTATGAAATAATTTAATATAAAAATTGACACATAATATCAATGTATGAATAATTTTTACTATTTTTAGAAAATTTGAAAGTTTAAGAATGAATACTTTCTAATATTTAATTGTGTATGTATATATGTAATATAGTTTCAATATTTACCATGTAAAAATTACCATGTAAAAACTTAATCTTCATACTCAATATTCACGCAGCACGTACACTAATTTACTTATTCAAACGCAGAACTTGAATCAAACACACCATAGAGAGAGAAACGCAAGACGTGAATCTCGCTAGCTGTCATTGCCACCTGTCAAAGTCCAGGCGGCCCGCATCGCGCGCGCTGATTGGCTAACGCGGCGAAGAGACTCCCGTCCGTCCAATCGGCGCGCTTGCTTGCAAGGCGCGTCTCCATGTGCCTAATGCACCTCGCGAAACAAAGATGGCGCCGATCGCAGCTCAACTGTGGGTATTTTAAGTAAAATAACTAGACTTCTGATGTACTTTTTAAAATATCTTTATAAATCGAGAAATGTTTTTAGAGAACAGGGGGTCGATTGTGTAACTTTTTCGAAAGTGAAAACGTGAAAAGTGAAAAATTTACACTAATCACGCATTAATTTTAAAATAAAATCGATGTGTGATTGGAAGAAAATTTTTACTTTTCACATTTTTACTTTAAAAAAAGTTACACAATCGACTCCCAGTTTATTAAAGAATAATATATAATTGAATGATGTTATAAATAAAACATAATCTGTTGTTAAGGATAATTAATATATCATTTGTTTTAATAAATATTTAATTAACAAGAAGTTGGTAACAAATAATAGTTCCTAAGAAGGCGGATAATGGAACAGAAACGTCACAAAACGCGGTACGTGAAGCGTAGATCGTTGACGTAAACATATGTATGTGATCCTGGATTCATCGTAGATAATACGGGACTCTGAAAATGACGGACGCCGATGAGGAGAAATTTACAGTGCAGAGTTTGCAAATGTGTACCCAACAATTTGCACAATCTTTTGACTCTCTGGCAGAAAATGGTATCGTCTATGCTGTATGTCAAGGCGAAAGAACCACAAAGTTACAAATCCGTATATTACGTCGAGACTTGAATCGATAGCAGTAGTAGTCAGAGAATGTCTGGAAGATCCGTTGAACAATCTAGGAGTGGTTCATCATCAGTTGGAGCAGATATCAGTCATTGACAGATATCAAAAAACGTGCACTCTTTTAGTTCAGTTATTTGATCAAGCAGCGAACCTATCAAGAATTAATGGCACAAACAGTCTCACTGTCACAACAGATTGATATTACAATCCAAGAGGGACAGGTCATATGGCTTGTTTATATAATTGGTACATGAATATATCTAATCTTGATTTTTATTATTAATAATATCTTTATAATATCTACAAATCTACACATTTATCTTTTTCTCATTTTTTTATTGGTGTTATCAGAGGAAGAGTTGCATTTAATAGCAACGAGGAGTTTGACGTTATGAACGGAGAATTAGTCTGTAGAGTTCTTCAATTGATGAATCTGACCGATTCGAGGCTTGCACAGGGTGACTGTGAGAAACTAGAACTGGCGATGTTGAGTAGGTCTCAGTAAGTGCCTGTTAGTCGCAATTTGTCCTTCATGAGGTGCATATCTTATTGAAACTGTTGTGATCGTATGACTTTTTTATCATCGTTCATTATCATGTGACTGCGTATTTTTACTCCAAGCGGCGATACCGTGATAATAAATAAGGATGACTTGTCGAGGAAAGCTACGACTCGGCAGAGCGTGTCTGGCATTCGAGAATTCGTGCGGGAAAAAAACGAGAGTAACCCAAATATTTAGTCGTCGCCAGCAGCAGAAATTTCTCCACAAACCGCGCGCTTGATATGAGGTAAGCATAAACCCAATTCACGATTCCAGTATATATATATATATATATATATATTACAATACGCAACACGGCCCTTCATTGATAACAAGTGTCATTGAAGTAATAGATGTTCTCCGAAACTTTGTTGCCGATCTTAGACATCATTTTTTTCAGCAGATAAATAAAATTTTTATAAAATAAAATATATGACAAAAAGAATATTATGAGAATTATTTCTTGCATAGCAGATAATTATTAAATGTTTTTTTTAATCAGAACGCGTATAAGTCCAAAAATATGCATAAAAAAGAATTCTGATTTATGCATACTGATAATAAATGATAATAAATGTTATATTGTAGACAATTTCTTTACATTTTACATCATTTCTGTATGCTAATTGTCTGCTTTAGTGGAAATAACAGAGTTACAAAAACACGTATATATAATATTTAGAAAGTAGATTATACATAACTCAACTGATTTTATTAATCCTTATTAACCGCGCCTATCGCGATTTTTTATTGCGATAACAGGTTGATTACGATTTACGATACGATATTTTCGCAGGTTCGTTCAATTCACAAACAAAAACGGGGGCCCCCAGCATCTCGGGGTCCAGCTGAAACAGGGAGGCGACATCATCGCCGTGTCAGCGGTCGACTCCAGGATCCCGAACTCGCTAAAAAAATTTCTCGAGGGCGGCGACGATCTTCTCAAGGAGGCTAAAAGGTAGGAGAGCGATTTGAACAGCTGTGAGAGACCTGGGGCCTTCGTATATGAGAGTCACATATTACAAATATGTCTACGCGCGAAAGATAAGCGAGAGTTCATGCATCTGCATTGAAAATATTTACTGTTCGCTATGATTTATAATCATGACACCAGATAGCCAGTTTTTTTTATTAGCTTGGAATTATAATACAAATTATGCTAACCGAACCGATTTAGAGTATAAGTGACGAAATAATCACGTTACGCTCATTTCTAATACTGAAATTGGCCTTAAAAAATAATTAGGACTTTAACTTGTCTGAATAATTTCGCAAGTTTTTATTTTAATCATATACTTCAGTAGTATAGTAATAAACAGATGCAATGCGAAAAGATAAATATTATTTGATCTCATCGTGAACATTTGTTTCACCAGGAAAGACGATATCGACTTAAAGAAGACAGTAGAAAGATTGGTACTTCCGGCATTCAATTCATGTGACTTAAATAAGTAGTTATGTCCCTTTTCTTGCTCCACTATAGTAATATGTACATATTTATGTGTACATACACTCACATTTACACACATACACATACATGTAATTATGTATCTTTCGTGGCGAATAATCCTACACAAAAGAATTGGGGAAAAATGATTTCAACAATCGAGTCAAGAATCTGTACATGACATATTAATTATCTAAATTCTTCAGTTAAATGAGAAATATTACTCATACAGCACGTCATATTTTACAAAAACTTAAAACCACACGCAACGTTTCTGTTACGTAATTTAACCATGAGCAGATTAATCGATAAGAAACATATTTGTAAAAAAATATTTCATGAACATGTTCCGACTGACCAGAATAACACAATTTATCAGAATGACAAGCTACGACAAATACGCAAACCGCAAGCCCGTGCTTTATCGATCAACAATACAAAATTAATGACGAACGAAATTAACCGCAAGAGCTTTAAACTGGTGTTGTTATACGGCTTACTATTGTGAGTCTCTATTTTTTCTCTGAAAACTCGTTTGTTAGCGCACATAAAACCGCATGTTGCCTATTATTGGGCAATAACATACTTATACAAAATAGAAAATGCAAGCAAATTTTTGTGCCTGTAAATATATTTAAAAAATTTTTGTATCTACCATATTTCTGTATACGATCGCATTTGATTTTTTTGTTTAACATTGTAAAGTTGTATCTTAAGACTCTATACTTTTATCACGCAAGAAAGAAAAGAGAAAAATATACTTAATTAGCTACATTTCACCTCGCGTACGAATTGATTAACTTCTATGAAACAATTTCAAGGTCTATTCTTGACTCGACTGACGATGGTTACAGAATAGTCGCCGAGAGACGGAGCATCATACCCGAGGATGACGTGAACTTCTTGGCGCCAGTTACGCGAATGGACAAACTCGCCTGTATCGGCCTCAACTATAGTGGCCACATTAAAGAACAAGGTGTACCGACTCCGGAGAGTCCGATAATCTTTAACAAATTTCCCAGCAACATCATCGGGCCACGGGATAACATCCTGCTGCCGCAAATGTCGGATGTAAGTCGACATGAGGCGAGATAATCATCGCCACGGGTTATCCTTGAGAGAAATTGCGATGATTCCCTTCGCCTATTTTCTTATGCCTGGAACTATGTATTTTTAGATTATCGAGATTACGTCACAATCTCCCTCATGTTCACGTTCCACTTTCATTTTCATTCTATTCACGGTTCAAGACGTGTGATACTATTATGATACTTTTTTTTACACGATAGCTTCGCGAGGTTCGCAAATAAATTGTATCCATGTGTCCGTCATGTAAAATTACTTAATTTTGTAACTTGTTTTTGATAGAAGAATTTTAAAGTAAAGCAAAACGTGACAAATGATGTTATGTATATAAATGACGTACCAAGAATTTAATCATTAAAGTGTATAATATCTATTTTTTAATTTATAGAAAGTCGATTGGGAGGCCGAATTGGCGATAGTGATCGGCAAGAGAGGTAAATGCCTCAACAATGAGAACGTCGAGGATTGTATCTTCGGTTATACAATAGCCCAGGATATAACAGCGCGTGATTGGGCAAATTCAAACCGAAATGGCAATCAATTTTTGCTCGGCAAAGCGATGGACACGTTCTGTCCACTGGGTCCGGCAGTCATTACCAAAGAGGCGATAAGCGATATTAATAATCTGTCTGTAAGAACATGGGTGAATGGTGAATTAAAGCAGGACGGCAACACCAGCGAACTTGTCTTCAAACCCCACGACATCGTCATTTATCTTTCGCAGTTCGTACTTTTGTCAATAACATGTCAATAATATTATATGTCGATAATAATAATACGCGATTGTAGATACGTGTAATAACGATATTGATCGAACTTTAGATTTATGACGCTGTTACCCGGTGATGTGATCCTTACCGGCACACCGGCCGGTGTAGGATTCACACGTAAGCCACCAGAATATCTAAAGGTACGTCATTATAATAATATTAAGATAAAATTATGTATAAATATAAATATATGAAATTATTTTTATATAAATTAAAACTGTCTTTTAGCATGGCGACCTTTTGGAAACCGAGATCGAGAGTCTGGGACGTTTGAGAAACAAAGTAATCTGATCTAAGAAATTGAGTATGCCTTTGGGAAGCGATGTGAAAACTTCTTGATCTTCACAAAACCGGACATTCCTTCGGGTATCGACATCCACGATGACGTTGAATCATCTCAAAAGTTGTGTCTGATCCGGATCAGATATATATATATATATATATATATATACACACACACTCAAACAATGTCAACAATTTCAACGCAATTACAAATGTTTATGCCAGAGGTAACAGTATTCTTCGTTTAAGGCACAAACGCGCCTAGCAACATTGATAACGCGGCAACGCTAATTTTTTGTGTCACACATTTTACGTACTTATATAATTAAAATCAGATTGTTTCTACTGCGTGTCTACTTTATCTTATTCAATCCAATCCACATAATTTTACATGTTTCAATGGATTATATATTAAATTTAATCATGTAAAGCTTCTATATATTCAATTGTTATGAAATAATTTAATATAAAAATTGAGACATAATATCAATAATGCATGAATAGTTTTTACTATTCTTAGAAAATTTGAAAGTTTAAGGATGAATACTTTGTAATATTTAATTGTGTGTGTGTAGATATGAAATATAATTTGAATATTTATCCAAGTAAAAATCAGATAAATATGTTTGCAAGTTAGGAAAAGTGATGACATATGATAAAACTTTCTCAAATTAATATTATCAAGTAATCTTTATCAAAATCATGATTTAGACAGTTATTTAGATGAAAGAATAATTACAAGATACCAACATATTACCTACCATTTTTCCTAGTCATCTAATATAAATACTAATTATAATATGCATTATTTTTAAATAATGTACATAGTATGTTTGTATACTCCAAAAATATGTTAAATTTTTATGTATAATAATCTTATTTTTGTTTTTATCGAATTAATGCAGATTATAATATTTAGTATATTCAAATCATTGTTTTTATTTGTACATATAGCATTAAATTTAATCTAAAGGTATAAGTTACATTTATTTAAATTATGACTTCAATTATCGCTGTCATTTTGAAGATATTCGTTATACTGTTCGGGAATACCTTTAAACATTTTTATTTTCGCTCGTATTTGTTTCCAGGTTAATTGATAATGGTTCTTCTTATCTCTCGACATTGCCTGCACAAGAAATATATATATATATATAATTTTATATTATAAAAGTAACTTTCCCAAGAAGCATCTTACCTTGTAATCTTCGCCGTATTGTTTTATCAAGTAAGTAAAAAATTCAGCTTGTCCTTTCGGTAACCTTAAGAGATGCACTCGAGGTGCTTTTGCTCCGGCTTCCAATTTCTTTGCCACGTGACTTTTCACCGGAGTTGTAACTTCAGTTTCCTGATCCGACGAGCTTTCATCTTCCCGAATTACTCTCTTAGCCTCCTCTAACATCTCGTGCTTCGAATTAGGAATTTGTATCGCTTCATTCGGATTGTACGCCAAACCCATGTCTTTCAAATTGACTCGCATGGATTTCGTTTCCGACCATTCTTTTTTTATCTCATCGCTAATAATCAGGATTGGGTAAGTTATTAATTAATTTTTTAAACTAAGTTAAAGTTAACGTCTTATAATATTAATTTAGTTGTGTTAAAAGTTGCACGAACAAAAACGTAACTCACAATCAGTTAAAGTTAAATTAAGTTAAATAAAAAATTAATTTAAAAAAATATTATATCTATATTAAATTAAAATGTCATAACTTTAAATTTAATATTTTAATTATTTAAAATTTATATAAAATAACAAAAATTTTGTTTTTATATAGGAACGTATTTTTTTGTAATTATAGTTATGAAAAAAAATAACTAATAGTATATAAACTTATTTATTTCATAATGCTTATAAAAATGACATATATTATAGAATGATTATATATCTTATTAATATCGTTATTAAAAATTTAATTGTCTAAGTCTAATGTTTACGATTTTATTAAAAAACTTTAACTTAGAAAAAAAGGTTTGTTAAAAATTGTTTCATTTTAAATTTACTAAGTTATTAACTTTTTAACTTGTTTATTTAATTATTAACTAATTAAATAGTTACTACTCAACTTTGCTAATAACATATTGAAACAGTGATATTTTAATCCATTGAAATCTATTGTCACGTTCGGAAATTAAACTATATTTAGGTTAGGAAATTTACCATTCGATTGTCGGCAGATACTTCTTTCGTAATTTATTACGTAGCCTCTTGCGATTTACATTCGCATTGTATGTCTTCCTACGCTTCAGCTTCCTAATTCGCTTGATCTTCATCTTCAATATTCACGTTGCACGTGCACGAATATTTACTAAATTTACTTATTCAAACACAGAACTTGAATCAAACGCACCATAGAGAGAGAAACGCGAGACGTGAATCTCGCTAGCTGTCATTGCCAGCTGTCAAAGTCCAGACGGCCCGCGTCGCGCGCGCTCATTGGCTGACGCGGCGAAGAGACTCCCGTCCGTCCGCCAATCGGCGCGCTCGCTCGCAAGGCGCGTCTCCATGTGCCTAGTGTGCCTCGCGGAACAAAGATGGCGCCGATCGCGGCGAAACGCCGACGCGCGCGGCGCGTGAAGCGTAGATCGTCGGCGTAAACATGCGCCGGCAACGGAACGGCCGCCGCAGACGAGACTGGCATGTGATCCTGGCTTCACCGTAGATAATACGAGGCTCCGAAAATGGCGGACGAACAGGTGAGTCGCCGATGAGGAGGGCAACACTTGCCGCGTCCCGCGTGCGCGTCGACGGGCGACATTATTAATTCGCGACGCGGCCCAGCCGCCGCGGCGCGGATCCGCCGGCGGAATCCGCGCCGGATTTCCGCGCGTGTCGTCACGTCGGTACGTACTTAAGGTAGTAGTGCGCGCGTTGCGTATATATATATATATATATATATATATATATATATATATATATAGATTTGTATGTATATACGCGGTGAGATAGGATGGTGGGTGACGGTGTCGCGCGCACCACGTTCGTAAAATCGCCGCACTTTCTCCCCAGGAGGGTGCTCCGACCCGTAGGGAGGAAGAGGGATGGGTGTCTCGCGCATTTCCCCCCCCCCCTTCCCCCTCGAGACTGACAACGAAAACACACAGCACAGCGCTTGGATGTAAAATCGAAATATCCTCCCTCCCGGAATTACGATATACCTACCCCTCGAGTGCTCGAGTCGATCCGCGCCGAGTCGAGTCGCTCCGCCCGTCTGTCACACCGGGGGGTTGCGAAAGGTTTCCTCTCCACGGTGCCTCCTCCTCCCCCCCCCCGTCCGGGATTCCAGGGAGATAATTACACGGCCGGTTACATCGATCACCTGATCGGGTTCGTCGTCGGAGGTGCGATGTGCCGTTGTATACGTAAATAACCGCGTGTCTCTCTGTGATAAAAGCGTCACGTGAAACCTTCTCCTCTGCGTGTCATGTATCGGAAAGTACGGTAACTCTCTTCTCTCGTGTGTGTGTGTGTGTGTGTGTATATATATATATGTATGTATGTGTGTTACAAACGCCGTGTGTCTGCGGATACGTCATATCGCGCCTTGTGTTTATCTCGTCAGCGTGTTTCTCTCTCGCCGGGGGAGAGATTCCTCGTTTGCGCCTCCCTTTTTCTCGCGGAACGAAGAAAGGGTAAAAAAGGAACGAGTGCGAAAAACGCCCCCGTTCCTGGTGACCACGTTTCGACTCAGCTTTTTCCCTGACGGGATCGCGCGACCGTTATTTACATCGTACATAATATAACCTGTCGCTCGTAAAATGTTTTACAATAATATCTTCGTCTCGTAATGATATCTCGTGCGGTTAAATAAACGTGACGAGATTCATCCAGACATCATAAGACACTTTTTTTCCGCCTGACTATTCTGTGATTGTTTTATGTAGTGTGCATGTGTATATATATATATGTGTGTGTGTGTGTGTGTGTGTGTATAAAGGGTATAAATAATAATACATCTTGTCATTTAAATAATTGTTATGATTTTTAAGTCGTCATTTTCATTGTAGTTACTTTTTTACATTTGGCATATTCCTTTTTGAAAATTTTCTACATGCACTGGCTATTTTGTACAATATTTTTCTTCAAAGTAATTGTTTCATCATGCAACACAATTCTTGTTTACTTTATATGGTTCATGAACGTTTGTAAACTGTATTACAATAAAACATGTTAATATGTTACTATTGAATTTTCCAATTGAATGAAACTTATTATTTAACCGCAGAGTTATGCATAAAATATGTCTCATGTTTATGTTTTGTCATATTTAATGTAACAAGCTCTGTTTTGTCTCGTGAGACATTTTGGAGCATACATTCTTGAACTAAAGAATATTTTATTATGCATAAGAAATTAAAACTATTCAGATTTCTTTTTTAATTTTATCCAAGTTTAATGCTGAACAAACTGTGATTCACCAGGCATAATGGGACTATATTGTAAACTTGTAAATACTTTGGACAGTAATGCCAAACTATTAATAAAGATTTGCGAAACACCATAAAAAGTGAAAACATTGTTATGAAACTTTTGGACTTTACCTAAATGGAAGTATTAAGGAACAACTTTGAGCAATGTCATTAAGAATGGATCCTATACAGGAAGTACAGCAGCTGGAATTGCTATGCAAGCAATTGTATGAGTCACAAGATTCGGCGCATCGTGCAGAGGCAGAGAAAGCCCTCGTCGCTTTTCAAAATGCACCGGATACGCTTACAAAGTGCCAGCTTCTCTTGGATCGTGGAGATTCTGCGTATGCTCAATTACTGGCCGCCACCACTCTGACAAAATTGGTGTCACGGTCTGCACAGGGACAGCTTACAACAACACTCAGCTTACAACAGAGACTTGATATACGTAAGCGTTATTCATTTTTTATTTTGCTGCACCAGTTGAAAAAGAATTAAAGAATTACTTCTTGAAATATTTCAAGCAAAGATTATATATTTTATTTGTAATCAAATGTATGTTTGTAGGAAATTACGTACTCAACTACTTAGCAACGCAACCAAAGTTACCAAATTTTGTGATACAGGCTTTGGTTACACTTTTTGCTAGGATATCAAAGCTTGGGTGGTTCGATTCTGACAAAGAAGAATTTGTCTTCAGAAATGTAGTTAGTGATGTAGCCAAGTTTCTTCAGGTATTTTTATCAATGCTATTGCATACATATTGTACAATTGTACACTTTGTTCTGTGATCAATAATATTTTATATTTTTTAATAAAAAAAGGGGTCAGTGGAACACTGTATGATAGGAGTACAATTGCTCTCTCAGTTGACATGTGAGATGAATCAAGTATCGGAAGCTGATGCGAATAGATCTCTGACAAAACATAGAAGAATAGCGAGTAGTTTTAGAGACACGCAACTATTTGAAATATTTAGGTTATCGTGTACTTTATTAAGTACAGCCCGTGAAAATTGTAAAAGTTTAAACTTCAATGATGAGGCACAGGTATAGTATAATGTCAATTGATCACAACTTTACGAATTCTTAATGTATGAATAATTAATGTAGCATTCATATCCTTGTTTCTTTCAGCATGGTTTGATAAGACAATTGTTGAAACTTGCACAAAACTGTTTAACATTTGATTTTATCGGCACTTCGACTGATGAGAGTTCTGACGATCTTAATACAGTACAAATTCCTACAAGTTGGCGACCTGCATTCTTGGATTTCACTTCGTTGAAACTGTTCTTTGATCTATATCACAGTTTACCTAATACGTTATCGTGCTTAGCACTTTCATGTCTGGTACAGATAGCATCTGTCAGAAGAAGTCTGTTCTCTAATACTGAAAGGGCAAAATTCTTGACACATTTAGTCAACGGTATTAAACATATACTACAAAATCCTCAAGGTCTCAGTGATCCAGGGAACTATCACGAGTTTTGTAGATTATTATCTCGACTGAAGAGCAATTTCCAGCTTGGCGAGTTGGTTCTAGTGGAAGATTATCCTGAAGCAATACAGCTAATCGCAAAATTTACAGTGCAGAGTTTGCAAATGTGGCAATTTGCACCCAACAGTTTGCACTATCTTTTGACCCTCTGGCAGAGAATGGTATCATCTATGCCGTATGTCAAGGCGGGAGATCCACATCTATTAAATACATACACTCCGGAAGTTACGAATGCGTATATTACATCGAGACTCGAATCGGTAGCGGTAGTAGTCAGGGAACGTCTGGAAGATCCGTTGGACGATCTAGGAGTGGTTCATCATCAGTTGGAGCAGATATCGGTCATTGGCAGATGCGAGTATCAAAAAACGTGCACTCTTTTAGTTCAGTTATTTGATCAAGCAGCGAGAACCTATCAAGAATTAATGGCACAAACAGTCTCACCGTCACAACAGATTGATATTGCAATCCAGGAGGGACAGCTCACATGGCTTGTTTATATAATTGGTACATGAATATATCTATTCTTGATTTTTATCATCAATAATATCTTTATAATATTTACAAATCTACATATTTATCTTTTTCTCATTTTTTTATAGGTGGTGTTATCGGAGGAAGAGTTGCGTTCAATAGCAACGAAGAGTTTGACGCTATGGACGGAGAATTAGTCTGTAGAGTTCTTCAATTGATGAATCTGACCGATTCGAGGCTTGCACAGGGTGGCTGTGAGAAACTGGAACTGGCGATGTTGAGTTTCTTCGAACAATTTCGAAAGATTTACGTAGGCGATCAAGTTCAAAAGAATTCTAAAGTCTATAGGAGATTATCCGATGTGTTGGGTCTTAATGATGAAGCTATGGTACTCAGTATTTTTATTCGAAAGATGTAAGTAAAGCGTATGATATTTGCAAGATTAAATAAAATACGAATATTAATACCTCTCATAATTTGCAGAATAACAAATTTGAAGTATTGGGGTAGAAGCGAACAAATAATTTCCAAGACACTACAACTTTTAAATGATTTATCCGTGGGTTATAGTTGTGTTCGCAAACTTGTCAAATTAGAAGAAGTACAATTTATGCTCAACAATCATACAGTACGTATATTAAAATTTATTGTATTTTATATACATATTTAATGTAAATGCAATAATAATGGTAATGAAATGATATATGCATATATATATATATATATATATATATATATATATATATATATATATATATTATTAAGTTTCTTTTTTCCTTTTCTCTCAACAGCGAGAACACTTTCCATTTTTGGGAAACAATGTTGCTGTAACAGAAATGCGCTGTAGATCCATGTTTTACACATCTCTTGGTAGATTATTAATGGTAGATTTAGGCGAAGATGAGGAGAGGTTTCATACGTTTATGTTACCTCTTACAGGTAACAAAATTTTCAACATATATTTATATAATCGTAATTTTTTATTAGAAATATAAGTTATGCAAGAAATAAATATTTAATATTATTTTAGGTGCATTGGAGAGCCTCGGTCAATTAATGGGTGCCGCAGATACACCCCTTTTCGCGGCAGAAGAAGCGAAAAAAGCGTTAATTGGTCTAGCGCGAGATCTTAGAGGCTTAGCTTACGCATTCAACACCAAGACATCCTATATGATGCTTTTCGATTGGATGTAAGTAAAATATATATCCACAAATATCTGTTGGATCTTCAGATATTTTCTGCAAGTTTACAATATATAAGAAAAAAAATTTACAATATATAAGAAAAAAACATTTTTGTTATCTGGATATTTTTCTCCACATTTTTTAGATATCCGAATTACACGCCGATTTTATTACACGCTGTGGAACTATGGCATCATGAGCCGCAAGTGACAACGCCCGTCCTAAAGTTATTCGCTGAGTTAGTACAAAACAGAAGTCAACGATTACAATTCGATGCATCGTCTCCGAATGGGATCTTGTTATTTCGTGAGGCCAGCAAAATAATATGTAGCTATGGCAACCACATATTAAATGTTGAAGTACCCAAGGATCAAATTTATCCTCTAAAACTCAAAGGAATAAGTATATGCTTTAGCATGCTAAAGGCAGCCTTATGCGGAAGTTATGTAAACTTTGGAGTGTTTAGGCTATACGGCGACGAGGCATTAGATAATGCCCTTAATACATTTGTCAAACTGCTCCTTAGTATTCCACAGAGTGATTTATTGGTAAGTATATGTATCAATTACAAGATTGACATTTTATTCATTATCTAGATAAAATTATTTTTTTATAATCAAATTAAATCATTAATCTGAATTATATAAATGTACTATAAGAATATTACTACATACAATTTATGAGATGAGCAAAATTGAAATAGAGTACTAGACTAAAACATTTGAAACAAGAAACTTTTATTGATATAAAACATCCATGAAAAAAAGACAATTCTACATTTTTATTGAAATTAAAATTTGAATTACAAAGTAAAAGCAAATATTAATGGATATGATAAAAGTATTGTATTATTTATCTTTTGTATGTTATACTTTAACCCACTGTTTCTAATAGCATTATCCGAAGCTGTCGGCAACATATTACTTGCTGCTTGAATGTCTGGCCCAAGATCACATGGTCTTTTTATCCACCTTGGAACCTAGGGTTTTTCTCTATATCCTCTCCAGCATCAGCGAAGGCCTTACAGCACTAGGTGCGCAAAAAGACTTCTATACAGGTCTGTGCGGCTGATTCTATCCTGCTACTACTATCCTCAATGCCATACCTTGATGCTGAAATCATTCTAAATTGTTTAGACATTTTTACAAGTTGAAAGAGTCTTAAAGAAAATTTTCTGTTATTGTTCCTGGTTAATACTTCTACAATATTTTTCCTATATAGATTTTCAAGAAAAGAAAAGATTAACATCAATAAATATTTATTATGAATCGTAATCAAACAGTTGCACAAGCATGTTAATAATTTATTTTGAAGACTTAAAAGGCATTTAGCTTAATAGAATACATCTCTACATTAGGACTAAATTATATACACAAAACTAAAAAACTTGCTGCAAATTTTTATATAATAGCTTTTTTAAATTGTTTAGAATTATTTTTTAAACACAATATTCCCCATGTCACATTTATTTCACTTATGTAAGCATAATAACTTAAAACTTTATCTTTTTTATTTATATATTTTGAAACTATTATATTGGTTTTACTATTTCTTGCTTTCTGCATTATTGCTTGGAATGTAAATCTGCCTATAGATATTAGCTACTGCATTCAAAGAACAAGGAACAAACGCATATATAAAATTATCATACATAATGATAAAACTCGAGAACATCCCTATAAATAACATTGGCTGTAAGAGGATTGAAGTGCGTGGAGCCTGGATCCTAGACACAATAAAGTTTGACACGAAAACACATAGCTTGTATTCTCTACAATGGCATATGTGTTAATGCAATTTTTCTCTATTTAAATTGAAACAAAATTGTGTGAAATAATGGATCTAGCACAGATAATCAGCCGCACAGCTGACATATTATTACTAACATTAATACTATAAGTTAAGGATTGTTGTGCTTTATAATTACTAATTAATTAATCATAATTGCATGTGTTTTTTTTATTAAGGGATACAATGAGAGAAAAAATTTTGTATCCTTATAATTTAAATTTACATATAATAATCTTTTTCTCGTTAGCTTATCTATTTCTTTATTAATAAAATAAAGTGATTAAATTTTATTTAAGTTTGTGAAATATTATTATATAAAGGAAGATAGGTAGGTCCTAGTGAACTTGCAATGAACAAAAATGCTGTTATTTTGGTTGGATGTATTCTTTTATTGCACTGTGATTTGAATTATAAATATACATATCGCCTTTTTCTGGCGATAAACTGGAAAAAAAATTTTCTGATTTCAGATACCATGGTATGTACTGGTTGTTGTGCAACTTTGGATCATATTGTCACGTATTTGTTTAAGCAACTTTATCAAAAAGGTGTGTTTAATAGATATTTTGTTGATAACAAGGCAAAATCTTTTTAACAAAACTATATCACAAAAAAAATTATAGGAGATATATTATTACATCAATATTATTGTATTGTATGTATTTACAGGATATCCAGGAAGAAAAAATGCAGTTGTTCCAGGAGGAGGGGAGTTATTTTTGCAAGTTTTGAAGCAACATCCTGAAATACTTCAACAAATCCTAAGTACTGTTTTAAATGTGATAATGTTTGAGGATTGTAGGAATCAATGGAGCATGTCTCGTCCTTTGTTAGGTCTCATATTGTTGAACGAAGAAGTAAGTGTTTGTATTTGCAATAATAATTCAATGATATAATAATTATATTTTTCTTAATAATAATCATACTTTTATTTCTTAATGTCTGTATGCTTTCTGACAATTTTTATTAATATATTCCTGCATATTTACATATTTGCAGTATTTTAATCAATTAAGGGAAAATATTATTAGAAGTCAACCTGTTGACAAACAAGCAGCAATGGCGCAGTGGTTTGAAAATTTAATGAACGGCATTGAAAGAAATTTACTCACAAAAAATAGGGATAGGTAAGAGAAAAAGATATATATACATAAAATATATTTCAATATATTTTAACATCTATTTTGAGTATATCATTATGATATTTTTGTGTTCTCTTATAGGTTTACACAAAATTTATCAATGTTTAGAAGAGACATAAATGACGCCCTAAAAGGACCTAATATATCAAATTCAGTCACTGACATGATGACGTCGTAGTAATACTGCTCTCTCTCTCTCTCTGAGTTAGATTCTTCTAGGTTCTTGCCTGCCAAATGCTTGAATGTGTGTGCGAGTGAAACTCTAAATTAATGATGAAATTAAAATTATGGCTTTAGATGAGTATAAAGATAATAAATACTACCTTTTTGTACACATGAGCATTATTGCTTGGCTTCCTATTCTGCTTAATTTAATTTTCTTAGTTGCTGAATTAGTTATACTCACCACATATTGGTTTACATTCGTGATAACAATAAAATTTGCATTATTGTTTTCTTTCCCATATACACAGCTCATTATAATTTTACACTCATAATTTTATTGTATTCTGAACAAAAATTAGAATAAAAATTAGATTCTCTTTTGATTACCTTTATACTCGAATTTTTTCAACTACTTTCAAAATAAATATTCCAATATTTTTATAACTAAGTACATATTAATACTAAAAATTGACAATTTTTCTATGACATTTTATAGTCATATAAAAAGTATACATTTGAATCTTTCAACGCAAAACATTCTTACATTTTTCATTCAATTTCTTTTTACAATCTTATGGAAATATATGGATTAAAGATTAATTAGTAGAAGTGTTTCTTTTATTTTAATTTTACATACCGATATATAATATTTTTATATGCATATTTATTTGCCATATAATTTTTTATTTCTACAAGGAGCTTTAACATTTTTGTGTATCATAATCAATTTATGCCTTTTGCATCTAAAACTATATAAGTAAGCACTAAGATACATACAACTTTTTCAAGTTATTATTATCTTAATTATCATTAACTTATTTCAAATTTTTTGACATTTTTTACATAAATAATATAATGTCTTATAGGAATTTAATCTCATATTCTTTGTATTCAATTATATTTTCGAAGAAATCAAACATTTTTAAGTAATTTTATATAGTTTTTAGAAAAGATTAGCATTATTATTTACAATTATGTATCAAATCTTGCCATGCGACATTTATTCTGTCAACAAAATTTCCGACATATGTACATTTTAGAATAGGAAGCCAATAATCTCTTTTTTATTTTAAATGACATCTTCCATTTAATTTTCAGTGCATAACATCCATTTTTAAAATCCCAAACGTGCAGTTTAGAGACGTTTATAACATTACAGATTCTTGTATTGGCATAGCATTGTAGAAGAAAAAGAGAGAAGCAAGAGCAGAGAGGCAAATCGCGATACATTTATTACTTAAAATTTATTCAAGTAAAAACTGCTAAAAAATTATTATTTATTCGTAAAAAACTTATTCAGTCAGTTACGAATGATATGATGAACAATGTACACATGAGGATATCATTAAATTTATTATACGAGGATTCACACTTAAGAATATAATCATTATTATATTAAGTTATCGCGTTGGCATTGCATATTTCATTGAGAAGACAACTAAAAGAAATGTGAAATAGATATATTACGAGGAGTTAAATAACATTTGTTGATTTTACAACATAGTAACTTTAAAATTGATTGTATACTGTAAAGCAAATCGCATTTTGAGCAATTGTATCTAAACAGCATTGTCTCATTATTGATACATCACAAACTTCTATATTTATTGATATTTATTGATTTATAATTGTCCCAAATGTTCAAATTTTTATCTCGATAAATATAGAGATAAATATCAAATACTTGATATATTTTATAACAAAACACACGCAGGTGATTTGAAAAATGAGAATACGAGAAGAATCAAATAATTGCGAAATATATACAGAATAAGATATTAAGATTCCCCTATATTGAAACGTCTTTAATCATCCTCTTTTGTTGTAAATATGGTTGCAAAATTTATTAGCCATATAGGAGAGATAGAAAACATTCCATTATTTTTTTATACATATATATAAATATATATTCCATCTTTTTTATAACATTTTGTAAATTATTTTTATAGGCTTCGAAAAAGAGAACTTCTACCTACTCATCGTAAACAGACTATTGCGGAAAAGTAAGAAATATTCCTTAAATTTGGTAATCATACTATAATTTCTGATATTTTTTTGCTTTCTTTGAAATAAAGGTACAGTAGAATTTGTTATTTGCTTAACGTTATATCTTCGTAAAGTAGTAGTGTTCCATATAAAGCTCATCACATCAGTGCTTTATTATTATATTAGTAAAACGCAATCAAACAAATATGGAACGCAAAAATCTGATTCTCAACTGTCTCTCCTTGTAATAATTATGTAATGAAGAATAATTTCTATAATTGCGAATTGTTATAGGCGAAACTGGCATAGTTTCATGATTTCGGTAGTTAAACTACCCTCACTGCTCGCGTAGGTATGCTATTATTCTTAGCGAATTGTTGTACTACACACTGTGATAGTGACGCTGTAAGAGAGTACGTTATTGTATTATCTATCGCTCGATCTTTATTCGGCGAAACGAAAAGAGAAGGAAAAGTATCGCATTGAATATATAAGATGTACCTGTGTAAAATCACCATTTCCCACGAAACACGCAATATTACGTTGCAATAGTCGGATTCTACGATTTCCAGCTGAGATAATAACACAGGTCGACAAAAAAATTTTTGTCAAGTAACTAATCAGAATATAGATTAGATAGTTTCTTATAGATTTTCGACTAGAAAAAAATGCGCTGTCCAAATTGCTCCATCACGTCAGGTTTTAAAGTTATTTTGAATTTTAAAGATGAGAAATTAGATTTATTGAAAAAATGAATAATAAATTACTATTTTTAACAGCAAAAATATGTGTAGTTAAATATATTTTATATTATATATTTTTTCCTCTACATCGTTGAATTTCTAATCTCAAAATTCAAAATAATTTTAAAATCTGATATGATGGAGCAATTTGGATAGGCATGGTTTTTTATAGTGAAAATCTAAAAGAAAAACCTACTCTGATTAGAATTACTTAACAAAAAAATTTTTTGTTAACTTGTGTACGTCGTCGTCTCCGGTATGCAATTCATATTTAATAATTTAAAAAATTGTTTTGAAAAAAGAAGCCGTTTCTCTGAGAGTTGCACGACTTATTTGACAATACTGAGAGAGAATATACTCATCAGCGTTGCGTTGTGTTGCGTTTTGCGAAACTTTAATAACGCAAAAGAGCTTATTCTCATTCGTATATGATAGCTACCGTGCGTCCTCTCTTTCTGCTAATAAACGAGAGAATATATCTATATCAATCAATCTGTTCAGTACAATCTCAGTTTCTACGTGATGGACGTTCATTAATAGATTTTTATACAGATACAGCATACGTAAAATCTACCTATCTACGCGACGAAAGATAGAATATAATAAATCGGGCGTATAAATTTTTCCTACAAAGTACACAAACAAAGCAGCATTACCAAGATAAATAATCTATATACGGGTCGATATTCAACGCTGTACCTTGACCAGATGATATTGTAAATATACATTGAATACAATGCAATTGTTCCCTCAATCTCCTGCGAATTGCCTTATTCTATATTGTTCATTTATCTTGTCTTCGTATAGTCTTGTCGAAATCGTTAATGCGCGAATATTATGAAATATTATAAAGATTTTATACGATATCGAGCTATATTATTTTCATATTTTTTTTTTGTTTTGTTTGCTTATATACCTTTTAGTCTTGAAAATTTTCACTTATTCCAATTTCTTGTTTTTCTACCTACTAATTAATGAATATCCTCTGTTTATAAGCTTCTTTTATTTAGTTTTCTTGTTTAGATTGATATTTTTTATGAAAAAGGATACAGTATTAAGACTTTAAGAAGTATTAAATATGTGACTTTTTATTGGCATCTCAATCTGACATTTTTTTAGTATGATTAAATATATAAAAAATAAGAATTTTAAATTATATATATATATATTTTAAAAAAGATAATTGTCACAATATAGTATTACTCTAAATTTATCTTATTATGTTTAAATATTTAACAGTGTTCTTTCCCCTCCCTCTCTTTTCAAACACATACACATTAGGCATTTAAAAAGGAACTCAAGTAAACACATACAAATTTGAAGCTGCATTTTGTACAGTTTAGTTTTATTACTTCACGGAAGAATAGAACGAGTTAATGATACATGGTATAATTGCAACATGTTATAAACTATATATGGTCATTATGTGCAAAAACGTAATGTCAGATTGTATCTTTATAGTGTATAGATGCTCTGTATTGTAATCTCGAAGCGTCACTAGCAGGTCTGTGGTCAAGTTTTGGCCATTAGTTGATGCACCGCTAATTGAACGCGCAATTCTACGCAAGCGTCTTTCTCCTCGATTATACTGCGTATCAACGTCGTCATCTTTTTCTGAAAATCAAGAGTGTAAGTGTATATGAGTATACAGAAATGGATTGAAAAATCCCTTCTCCTTTCCAGCGTTTAAAAAAAAACATACTTCGAGTAACTGATTCTCCTTGACTAACTGTATCATAGCTGTCATTTCGGCTTCGTTAGGAGAGTGTATCCTTTCTTTGGGCTTCTTCTTTTCTGTGCCGCGTTCTGCCAGCATTTCCATTAATCGTTTGATCTCGTTTCTTTCCTGGCTGATGCGAGACTTTAATAACGCTTGCATATTCAACAGTTCCTCATGGATCAGCTTCTCTCGCAACTTATCTATAACATCCTCCTCTTCAGGCTCTGTATATAAATTAATGTTATACTGATTGAAAGTATTAGAAATTATATAATTATAGCATTATGTGTGTATGTACCGTTTACTTTGTCGTTTGGTGTTACATTTTCAGATTCTTTCGATTGTGTAACCATAACATTATCCACAGAATCAACCGCGTCTTTTTCTTGTACATTTATGCTCTGTCCGTTCTGCGCGACGTTTGAACTACTGGTTCCTGCCAAACAAGAACATTTTTCTTTCCCTTCTTCTGCGCTTTGTAGTTTACTGTCCTTTTTCATTAATGTTGCGTTGTTCGATGATTGACTATCGGGTTTTACTTGCCCAAGATCTTCGTCCACCGGTTTTGATTTTTGCGTGGTAGATTCTATCGGAACATTATCGGTCGATTTGATTTCTTCGTCTAAACTCTTTTGTGTAGCACCTTCCAATTTTTGAACAGACTTGTATTTTCGCTATAAAAAAAAATGTGCATTTTATGTTAGCCTTTTCTTTGCATGGATTTATATGATATTTATAATAATGAATTCTTAAAAAATATAGTACCTTTAATTGTGTTATCATTCGTTGCACTTCCCACAGTTGTTCTTCACGAGACTTTGTTACAAAACCAGCGTTCATTTGCATGTGAATTTGAGATAGTAATGATTCTTGTTTAGATAATTCCGCAGCTATACCTTCCACAGAATCAGGCAGATTAGTACTACCAGATGACAATGGTGGCACATATTTTGTCAATTGTACATTTGGAAATAAAGCCTTGCAGTGACACAACAGAGCCAATAACAATCTGTGACTCATTTGTAGAACCGGACTTAACGTCATCGAAATTGTTTGTGCGTTCATTTTCGTCGTTTTCTCCTATAGTAAGATATCATTAAAAATCAAATGTAATTATGTAAAGAAATTTTGTTTCTTTCTCGATAAATTTTTATTTTAAATAAGATTGGAGAGGAGTTCAAAATCAGATTAACGAATCTCTTTTTTTTTAATAGTAGAAATGCATAAATATCATATTTTTTATATTTTGATATAAGAAAGATTATTATATACTGCATATGTTTTTGTTTTCAGATAGACTTGATGCATCGAGCTGATAATACTTGGAACATACTCGCACTGTGACATGATCCAAATGCAGTATGACCCATGCCAGGAGAATCCTGTTGCATTCCGGTAACTGCTGCATCAATTGAGCCAATTGCGCTTCCCGTTGCGCGACATCCTTGGTCGATGCGGCCTGTTCGAAGCGTGATATTGTTTCACTATTCTCCAACACGGATTCTGGCAGTTCTCTACATCACCACAATGCGCACCACAATTTTTCGTTTGATCTTAAAACACATGGTGAGTGGAGGATAGAGAAGTCTCAAATACAAACCTAAGAAAGAGTATCAATAAGCTCGTAGCTACCGTGGGTTCGAATTCAGATATGTTCACCGGTTCTCGGTGATTGTACAATTTTTTCAAGTACTGAACTTTTGACTTCACTCCGGGAACTTTGTACAGACCCTCCACATTCATTCCATGTTCCTCTACATAATCGATACAGTCTCGTACCACTAATGGCAATTCGATTCCATCGTGACAACAGCTTCTTTCAACTGCTAAATGAAGACTAACACCGAAAACCGGTTGTTCCTCTGAGAAACGTAATGTATATATATCAAAAAAGGTATTAATGGAACAGCAAATAAAAATACTTATATTTATATATACAACAATCAATCTTACCACCAATATCTGAGCCTTCACCACCAGTATGTTTTCCTTTCTTACGATCTTTCAATTTTTGCTTAGATTTGTCTTTATCTTTATCCTTCCGTTTTTCTTTGTCTACATCCTTCTCATCTTTATCTTTCTTCTTTTTATCTTTTTCCTTCTCAGTATCTTTTTCCTTTGCTTCCTTTTCTCGTGATTTTTCTCGCTTCTCTTTCTTAGAAGGAAATTTAAAGGCTTTGGTCTTTTTTGATTTTGAGGGACTTCTGTGCAATAAATTATGCAAAAATTATACATTAGTTTATATATATTACAAGACATTAAAAAAAAACCAAAATTACCTCAAGCAATAGATAGTAAAATTAATTGTCATTTTGTATGTATATTATAAAGTCTTTGTTGATAAAATATATACTAGCAAAGAGCAAATTAAAATCAGTATAAGTAGAAGTATCAAATCATGAATACTTGAAACAAGCTTGTTTTCCATTAAAAAAAAATCAGAAATACTTTAGAATTTCAAAAATCAGAAAAAT